TACGGCCTGAATGAGCCACAGAGGTGAAGGCCTCAAAATGCTTCCAGCAAAGAGCTGGTCTGATGGCCTAATCATGGAATGGGTCTGATGGCCCATTCCATATATACGTACGCATACATGGAATTTGACTCTGATTTCCACTTCGCTCTCAATGTACATACACAAGTTTACAATAAACAAGAAAAAAATAATATCCATCCATCCATTTTCCTCCGCTTATCCGGGGTCGGGTCGCGGTGGCAGCAGGCCAAGCAGGCTGAGCCAGACTTCCCTCTCCCCCGCAACATGTTCCAGCTCATTCTAGGGGATCCCGAGGCGTTCCCAGGCCAGCTTGGAGATATAATCCCTCCAGCATGTTCTGGGTCTTCCCCGGGGCCTCTTCCCAGTTGGACGTGCCCGGAAGACCTCCAGTGGGAGGCGTCCAGGAGGCATCCTAATTAGATGCCCGAACCACCTCAGCTGACTCCTTTCAACGCGAAGGAGTAGCGGCTCGACTCCAAGCTCCCTCCTGATGACCGAGCTCCTTACCCTATCTCTAAGGCTGAGCCTGGCCACCCTACGGAGGAAACTCATTTCGGCCGCTTGTAGCCGCGACGTTGTCCTTTCGGTCACGACCCAGAGTTCGTGACCATAGGTGAGGGTAGGAACGTAAACCGACCAGTAAATTGAGAGCTTTGCCTTCCGGCTCAGCCCCCTCTTCACCAAGACGGTCCGGTGCAGCGCCTGCTTTACTGCTGCAGCCGCACTGATCCGCCTGTCGATCTCCCGCTCCATCTCAACCTGACTAATGAATAAGACCCCGAGATACTTGAACTCCTTCGCTTGAGGTAGGCACTCCGTCCCCACCTGGAGGGAGCAATCCACCGGTTTCCGGCAGAGCACCATTGCCTCAGATTTGGAGGTGCTAACTCTCATCCTGCCGCTTCACACTCGGCTGCAAACCACCCCAGTGAATGCTGGAGGTCACGAACCGAGGACGCCAACAGGACCACATCATCTGCAAACAGCTGTTTTCCACCCCCAGGCTGCGCCTAGATATCCTGTCCGTGAAAGTCACGAACAGGACCGGTGACAAAGGGCAGCCCTGGCGGAGGCCAACACCCACCGGGAATGTGTCTGACTTATTGCCGAGGATGCGGACACAGCTCCTACTGCAGTCGTACAGAGACCGGATGGCCCGTTGTAACGGGTCCGGCACCCCATACTCCCGCAGCACCCCCCACAAGAACCCCCAAGGGACCCGGTCAAAAGCCTTCTCCAAGTCCACAAAGCACATGTAGACTGGATGGGCAAACAAAAAAAAAACTCTTAAACTACCTTTAAAAAATTTAAGAGTTTAATGACGAGGTAGTTCAGTACATCGGTGCGGTTCAGTTCCAGCAAGAAGTCCTTCTTCATTCATGGATGCCAGTGATGACAGTCGAGCCTCCCCAGTTGTATTTCTTGAATACGTTTTAATGCGTTTGAGGGCTGAAAATGTCCGCTCGGCAGAGGCAGCAGATATTGGGATTGTCACCGCCCAACATGTCACACTAGCCCACTGAGGTGAAATCTGATTGGATAAAAGCTCCACTTAAAACAAGCTGCACTGGAAGCAGAGCAACTGAGGAAGACATTAGCTGTGCAATGAGAAAATAAGCTAATGGAAAAAATATTTAGAATACATGTAGTGTATTTATGAAAAATAATTAAATTATAAAATAGCTATAACTTTGTGATTCTGTCTAGGCCAGCAGAGAAGGCCTTGCTGGCCCTGACGGCCCACCACTGGTGGTGGATCCCCAGGAGCCGCTCCATGTCAAAGTTAATCCGTATCGATGTGTCCTTGGGCAAGACACTTAATGCAAAATTGCAAGTTGTACCTGCTGTGTGGGATTGGGTATGAATGTACCTATTATTGATAGTACATATTGAACTCCGAATCACTGCCGGTTGACTTTAGATCAAGTTGGTGTGAGACTTGATTTACACCGCGTAGCATTACTTGCCCCCCACTAGGTGGAGACAAACAGCCATGCTTGTTTCTGCTGATGCTTTGGTTTGAGTTGTATTTGTTGACTTATATCCCATAAGCAAGAGGAGATAGCTGAGACAAGTGATAACACACACAGTCAGTATGAATGTGGAAATATTCTTATTCTTTTTGAAATTCAACACACTGAGAATATAGCTGTTTCTGGGGTTTAATTATATCAAAATTACACAATTTCATTCTATCAAATCTGAAAAGTGTATACTGTTTGTGTAGATTGAAAACGTGTCAGTTGTTTCAAAATCTCCTAGAGAGGCATGTAGTGGCAAATGTCTGTGATGATGTAAGGAATGCAAAGAGAAAGGCTGCATGAGCCATAATGAATGATTCAGACCTACTGTAGTGACTGATTTCAGTAACTAGCCACTTGGCTGGGTGCGGGAGAAGATCCTGTTCCTTACTCGCTTCAACAAAGAGATTCCAGGCCTTTCACACTTTTGGGTGAGGTTCCCGTTTAGGGAAGCCCCCCTAAAATGCCCCCCTAAAATGCCCCCCTAAAATGTTCTTCAGCCCCCCCAAATAATTTGCCATTATTGGCTTTTAAAAAAAATATATATTTATTTTTTTGGTGATGTCATTAAATTTAACTATTGTTTCTCACATGGACAAGTTATTTATAACATAACATGCTACATATGTGCGTGCGTTCTGGTTTGTATGTTTTCTCCCCCTTCAAATAATCCAATAGCCTAACATCTACTTAACAATATAAACCCCGGGCACTAGGATCTTGGGGAGGCTGCTGCGTGCATGTTTTTTTCCCATTGAATGGTATATTTGACACTGAACTAGTTCATCTTTATCTCAGTGATAGTGTCCAAATGAGCATAAAATATCACTGGTATGTAAAAACTACATGGACATCAAAATAGATGTAAATGTTGATCAAAATCTTATTCCCTTCTGCTCATAATACAACAAGTAAACAACTCAAAAGTTGACACTGTCAGGTCCATTCTCCAACCATTGTGTGCGGTCCCTTCAAGAATTAGGATTTGGGAGTGACGCTGATATGAAAGCTAGTTTATCCCTCTTTTCTTTACAAGCAGTAAAATTATTTCTCTCTTTATTTGAGAAAAGTTCATATTTGTGTTGTCAAATTTCACTATGACCCTGAAATTCTGTCTCTTGTGTTATCATATACTGAATGCAAGCAAAACTACAGAGCAAAATCAATGAACCAATCTATGAACTGTCTGAAACAATGGATATCCAAAATGGGCCCCAAAAACAATTGCCGCGCGCTACTCGTGCAAACATGCCCCTCCCCTTGGGGCTAAGCCCCCCCTTTCTTTGAATCCTAGAAACGCCCCTGGCACTTAGCTTCCTGGGGTACATCCCAAGTCTCTTAATTGCATCCCTGTTTCCCTCATTTGGGTCCTTTCCTTGCGTCTTAGTCCCTCCCACCAGGGATGCATGGAGGAAACCATGCGAGGAGAGAGGAACGAGGAAATGAGAATTAAGAGACTTGGGATGTACCCCTGGTCTCCCTCTGGTGTGCCTGGTTTGCGGTAAAAACCGTGCGATCTCCCCGTCACCCATCCATCATCACCTCTGTTGCACCTGTGCCCCATATATCAATTACCAGCCACAATACTCCACACTGCCACCCGTGGTCAACCTGAGGTAGGCTCCCAGTATACATTTATAATACCCAGACCTAACTAATGGCTCCTACACCTACATTCTCTATACTGCTTTAGTCTCTCAGGGTAACCAATACCACAACAGTAGATCTGTCAGCACACACTGAACAATATGTGCTGACAGATCTACTGTTATGGTATTACTGTAAAAGGGATATTGTTTAGACCTAATATTTATTTTGATCATGGTATTGTAACTTGTTTCATATGTATTTAAGCAAAGACTGTTGAGGTGGCATTCATTTTAAGCTGTCAGATAAATATAGTGGAGAAACATTGACCTCTTGTAAGTAGAGTATAAAGTAAATAAATGTATAGCAAAGTGTAACTCCCTCACAGTACAGTAGCATATCTACCTCTACACACTGTACTCATATGCTTGATATATTATTTTTGGGAATATAGGGACCTACTGACAAACAAATACATAATAATGTCAAATGTGTGGCCAGGGGCGTTTCTAGGATTCAAAGAAAGGGGGGGCTTAGCCCCAAGGGGAGTGAAATGTTTGCGCGCGCAGCGCGCGGCAATTTTATTTGGGGGTGCGGATATCCATTGTTTCAGACAGTTTATAGATTGGTTCAATCAGAAAGAGTGTGATTTTGCTCTGTAGTTTTGCTTGCATTCAGTATATGATAACATAAGAGACAGAATTTGAGGGTCATAGTGAAATTTTACAACACAAATATGAATTTTGCTCAAATAAAGAATATCCGCGTCACTCCCAAATCCTAATTCTTAAAGGGGCCGCACACAATGGATGGAGAAAGGACCTGACAGTGTCAACTTTATATCGTTAAGTATGATGATAGGCTATTGGATTGTAATTTGAAGGAGGAGAAAACATACAAACCAGAACGCAGCACATATGTAGCATGTTAGACTTATAAATAACTTGTCCATGTGAGAAACAATAGTTTAATTTAATATCACCAAAATAATTTTTTTTTTTTTTTAAAGCCAAATAATAAATAATGCCAAATTATTTGGGGGGGGGTGCTGAAGAACATTTTAGGGGGGCATAACAACGCCCCTGTGTGTGGCCTTGGCTGCCTATTGTTTAGTGTCAGGTCCAAATGTTTGAAGGAGGGTGTAGAGTGGATTGGCGGCTTCGACACATTATGGTCCTGTACTTGAGTACGTGTACTAACAGATACTTTCTGCCACTGAGTTAGGACAACATACAGACATTTTATGATTTGTCCGGGAATGGAGACACCCCGTTACTGTCATATTGTTTGAGGCAGGGCTCCTGTGATACTTTTATTTTGAAAAACACAGTGCATTGTCAAGCGGATGTTTTGCTGCTCGCTTGACGGTGCTGGTCCGCTTGAAGCGCCTCGCCGCGCCGCAGACCGACAGACTAAAGAGCGGAGGGGCTCTGCTGGGTCGAACTGTCCTCATGAAGAACCGAGCCTTCTGTCCCACGCAGAGACCATTTATTTAGTCCGGAGCACTTAGTGAGGACCAACCAGCTATGTCGGAATAGAGTTGACGGTTGGCTTGTGCTCAGCCTGGAGACTCCATCCCGAATGATCAGGATATGTTATGTCCTCCAACTATGAACAAGCTGCAACAGGATCCGAGAAATACAGACAGGCAAGTTTCCAAAAGTCACCGGCTGCTGGATTGGTAACTTCTGGCGTTGAGTCTCGTCTGTATGAATCCGATCCAGAGGCTCAGTGACAGGGACTCGGTTTAGTGAGACTTTCTCCTCCACCAATGAGTGTGTACGGGGAGAGGAATGCAGCAGCGCGCTCAGTCACACACGTCCCTGTCGGATTGTTGCCTCCATCGGCTACAGCAGACACATTTTTAAGGGAAGTAGCGTTAGTCTGGCACGGCACGGCACGGCAGTCCATCGTTAAGGTAAAGATATAACGCATTATTGCTGTCGATAGACAAAGCTATATGCTGCTGTTTCCAGTGAAGCCTCAAATTCAGATGATATTAGCGGGTTCAGCCGGTCTCTGGTGGGCGTGTGGAGTGATTGCATGTCAGAAAAAGAAGCATTTTACAGACTATGGGTCCACCCTTCCACAACCGCTGTATGGTTAACAGTCTATCCCATCATGAAGCACAACTTGTGGCTTTCCAGAAGGGAATTAGCTCCTGTCCAGCTTCCTCTGCTGAACAGAGGATGACCAGTATGATAATGGGTCAATGCAGTGGTGCTTTTAGGTGGAAAAAATGGTGGAGCCATAATTACTTGTGACTGATGCACAACCAGAAAATAACATAATTTTACAATAAACTGAGTAGGAGATGTGATGAAACCCATGAACACAGGTGATGATGTGTTGGGCACACACATGTCCTCCTCACTTTGCTGTTCTAGTGCTCAATCCCCCGTTAGTATGTGCTGTCAGGATGTTTGCTTCACCTTGTTGTCCTGCTGCTTCATGTTTGGTAATCCTCTCAGAAAGGTGCCTGAGATCCTGAGAGCCTGTTCTGGACCAGGTCTCTCCCCAAAACACACATGGGAAGCAAAAGAAGGGATTCTCTGACCGACTAGCAGAAGCCTTTGTTCCTGCGGTGTGGTTAACATGTCCTCTGTGCTGCTGGGCACAGATGTGTTTCAGTAGAAGATACTCCACACTGTTCATGCTGACCACAGTTGGGTGTTTCTCAAAGTCAAGGAAGGCTGAATTTCAAGGATGCTACGTCATTGAATTGGCTGAAGGACAGTTTCTATCATATATACAAAACAATAGATGAGACATTGCTTCATAACCAATGGGAGAACCGTCCGGCATTTTACCAAGGTAATGTTTACAGTCTCCTCATGGACACTGGTTGTCCATTCAGCACATACTAGCTTCACCAAGAGGACCAAAGAAACCAGAGAGGCTGGCATCTCTTTCCCCACGTCGGTATAGAGAAGATAGTCATGTTAACATGGAGCCTAATATTCAGATTATAATCTGTTTAAACAGAATACAAATGCATATTAACACCTCAAGCAGAATAAACAGGCCCACACCAATTTAATTTGGTTGCAGACGGGTAGTTCAAACTTTTTCATTAACAGATCAAAAGAAAAAATTGTACCTTGTAAATTATGAAAGCAATGGCTTTCTGGATGTGTTCTCCCTGTGCATGCCCTCAGCAAATGCGTGGGCACCTACGTTTCTCTAATAATGACAGCGTCTAAGCTGAACTGGACCACAGCGGAGATTATTATTAATACAAACTCTCAAAGAACGTAATGTTGCTGTTGGATGCATGGGTGGCTACAGACGGAGTTCCGTCAAAAGTGAATTATTTGCTCCGCCGTAGTCCTTTTTATTTGTTACCGCTAACACAATCATTTGTATGGGTAATGCAGAGCAACAGGTGTTGAGGTTAGAACAACAAGCTGGCATACGAGTTAACCAGACCAACGGAGAGAGAGTTGTGTATGAGACGAGGGTCACCGTTGTTGGGGATGTGAGTGGAAACGCATCCAACATGCCAACGCACGTTCGACCGCATCACCCAGATGTGCCCATCACTGGGACACTTGTTGTCCATAAGTCTACCAGTCAAATATACTCAGCTTTCTATAATAGAGGACTAAAAGCAGAAAAAGTCACATTTGAGAAGCTGAAATCAGAGAATTTGGGAACAATCTTCTTAAAAATAATTGAGGACGAGTGACGAGACATCAATTATCAAACAGTTGGCAATTAACTTAAATGTTGACAACTACTCGATTAATTGAGTAATCTCGGCAGCTCTAGACTGATTTCCTAGAGTAAAATAAAATTGCACAAAAAAACATCAAGGTTTGAAATGCCTAACATTTGTTTAGTTAAGTAAACAGTTTGTACCTACTCAAACAAAACTTTATTAGGCACAGCTTTGTACACAGTATATACAGTAGTTATTCTTAATGCTTGTCATCGGTTCCACCGGGTTGGATTCTGGCGCAATCGGAGGAAATCATGCAGGTTCTCCAGGAACTCCTTCAGCTCAGAAACCTTCGACCTGCAGTCAGAGCTCCGGAGGGAGGAGAGCTCAGTTCCTGACAGCAGCGTCCTCTCCTCCTCCAGGAGCAAAGCTTCTCCTCGCTGGGAACCAACACCAACACCACGCTGCTGGAGACCCAGGCCATATCGCTGGGCTCACTGGAGGGAAGGGAGCCACGGGAGAACAAGAACCAGGACTGAGTGGGGCAGACTGTCAGACCCTGCAGCAGGGAAATGTTTTTTAAAGGGACTCAGAAACACAAAATCAACACAAAAGGAAAGCTTTAAACACGTACCCTTATGTTTTGAGTTGTGTTTTCTCCGAGATAAGCTCTTAATGAAGATGCCCTGTATAAAGGGGCAAGGGTGGGGTGGTATTCCAGTATTATCCCTCTGTAATACTTTAAACTGCTCTTTAACAATAGCAGTAGCTATGTAAAGGAATACACCGTTGAAAACATTATGAGAAAACCTGGATATATGCTTCTCTGTTAAGGTGTTCCAGTGGATCCATAATCAATGCTTCCAATGTAGGAACTACTTTATAGTCCAACATATAGAATTGAACCCTCTGATTGTCACACAATTTCATTCCCACAATGTGATTTCATGCATTTATTATCTACCCAAAGTAATCATTTGTACTAGAGATGGTTTTGCTCGATCACAAAATAGGAAATTGCAGTGTTACCTTAAAGGAGCAGATGAGTCTGTCTCAACTTCCTTGTCTTCAATAACAACATTCTCTACGAGCCGCAGTTATTGTTGTGGTCTCCATCTTGTATTTCAGTAGTGACCCTAGCCCCAACATGCAGCTTAATTCTTGAGGAAGTATACTCCTGGTGAGTTCCTCTTCAGAGCCACTGAGCAGAGCCTCTACAACACTCTGTCAAAGCAGCATGGAGTAGGTGTTTGCTGCGGACACAACCAGATACTTTCCTACTGTAATGCATTTGATCTTTCATCATGACAGACACATTATACGTCACATGTGGATGCCTGGAATACAGCTGTATTTAACCTTGACTTAACTCACTTTGGTCACTCATTAGTCAGTGGTTGTTTATCACGTACAATCCTTTTTCAATGTTAATCACCACTGGAAATAATTAGAGTGAAACTCCTTGGACCTTCCATGTCTTTGGGGAGCTTGTAAATGCATTGAGGTACACACAAAAGTAAAGAATCACTCGCACATGTGCTGTTCTTCTTGAGTTCCCTCATGGTCATAAACAAAGCCGAATAAAATGGAAGAACAGCTTCAAACACTCTGACCTCAGTTACTGTGAGGTCCTGAGTATGTTGCAATAAGTAAAACATTCTCAACATGCTGACTGTCAGACACCTGACGGAGAAGTCATTCATCCTTCCTTGTGTGTGTGTGTGTGTGTGTGTGTGTGTGTGTGTGTGGGGGGGGGGGGTTCTCAGACTTTTTTTGTCATGCCGCCACGGAAAAATACTATCAAGTACCCCACGTGATCTAAAAATGGTACTAGTCATTGGAAGTGCTAAATTCAAAGTTCAGAGCATATCTAAGATTGAGGGATTGCTTCCACACAGTTCTCAACATACAGAAGGCTGAGCCTGCAGCTAATAGTGCTGACTAGGGTTTAATCCCTGTACACAGGATTCCGTTACAGAGTTCTTCATGGATCTAGCCTCTTCATTTTGCTCTTTAAATGCACCAGATTAACTCAACATTGTTGTATTTATCTTTTGATAAAGATTTAAGATGTTATGCCCTCATAGTTTTTTTCAATTTCCCCCCGTGGTACTGGAAATATTGTATTCAAAATTAACATAGATATTTTCCAAGGTGTATCAAAGTTAGAAATTCCAATCTCCGGCAACACTAATACTGATACTGCTAAGAGTGATGATAACAGCAAAAGCTTTGAATTCCTAAGATATAGTTCCAGGTGATTATAGAATGCTCATTACTTAAGTAACACTTCTCGTTTTTCACATGTCTATTTGTTTCATTATTACTATTTAAAGCTGCTTAGCAGTCAAATGTAAAAAGGTAACATTAGTAAATGTTACCTTTGTCTCTTGGTCCCTGAGTAACATTAGTAAATGTTACCTTTGTCTCTTGGTTTCTTAGTAACA